ATATATGAGACCTTTAATTTTCAAATTCCGCTTCAACTAAGGATTATTATAGCAAGTGCATTGCACCTGCTATAATATTGTGCGCAATTCTGCTTGTCATCACAGCTCTCGGTGAGTAATTTCACACTGCAAGGCACGCCAGCTCTCATTCAACGCGTCTGCAGAATATGTATTCCGTCGTCAATTCTGAGTGGAATCTCGATAGCATTTCCGCTGGCAGCAGGGAATTCTTGCTAATGACCGAGGAAGTGGCAGAACTTGGGTCATTAAATCCTAATCTTGCAGAGCGATTAGCGTAATATTTTGTTTGAGATTTGAGCGAAGTCGCATGCATGTCTGACACATTATTAACTCACAACATTTGGAATGAGATATTGAAGTAAATGAAGATTACTTACCTTCTCTCAAATATTTTCGAGTAACTAGAAACGTACCGTATGCGTTTTTAATTACGTTCTTGCAATATTTAAGTGTTATTATCCGATTACATGATAGTCAATGTTATAATCAGTTGATTTCAATGACATTCAATCGATAGATAAAAAACGCTATGATTTCAACTTAGGCTTAATTTCAAAATAAAAAAAAGTTATCTAGACTCTGCCGTTAGGATGGGAAATAATTCCGTCATCTTTTTGTTCTAAACAGAATTTTCGCGGCGCAGCGCCGAGTCAAAAATCAACGATATCACTTCTCCATTTTCGTTTACGACAGAAATGTGCGCAGCCCGTCAAGAATTCTATCCTGAATCATGGATTTAAATTTGCAGGATATAATAAAGTTTACGAGCGCATCGATTTTAGAGGAAAAGTATAAATATTTTTGTGAGAATCTGAAGCTCTATACAGAATAGGAATGCTAGGAATCGACGAGACGGGCTGGAAAAGGAAATAAAGGCCAGGCTGTTGACTTGGAATGACCATATTAGAGAAAAAGCTGTGCTCTTTGAACTTTGAAGGCTCCCCCGTTCAGATGCCGTTACTTTTTCAGGACCAGAAAATTCATTCATCATTAAAGAAAAATTTTTCGTACATCAGAATCAATCTTAAGACCTATTTTTTTACATTTTGCCGTATGAATTAATTTGGAAGTGGCACGGGCTAGTGAATTAATAACACTTTATACCTGATTAAATTAAAGTATTCACATTTTTCGACGCGATGTGATTGGAACTGGACACGTTTGTATTTTTTTTAGATCTCAATATGTTTGATTGTTCATTCAATAGTGTGAAAATATCCCGAAAATTATCAAGTTCAATTTTATCTAGAAACATGAGGAAAAAAGGAGTACATTGCATGGAAGCGATTGCAAAGCTCTCAGTAGGTGAAGAGAAACTTCAATTAAAAATAGACCCTTGGGAACGTACCAACCATGTAAAAAAAACAAGGAAGAAATGTTCATTTTCTTGAAATGAGGTCCATCAAAGTTTCATCACATAGCTATCGTGCCTTAGATTAATTATTGCAGGAGACTCAAAAACTTACCGTACATCTCTTGAGTAACTTTTCTGAAAACAATATAGAACGCTTGACATTCTTCTCATTCTTTCTACATGAGCCGCTCTTTACTCGCATTTTGTGGAGAAATTGTAACAAGAATTCCGTACAAACGAAAAAACATGTCAATGCTGTCTTCAAATGAGTCATAAATTTTAATCCAACATTCGAGTTTTATTATTATAATTGCCAATTGTAGTAATTCATCGTCGAACGAACACGAAACTCGCAAAATGTAGATAAAAAATAAATTCTTACATTACAATCATGACAATCGCTGAAATACAAAAAAAACATCTGATTAATATATTATTGAATATCATAGATTATTGCTGATTGTAAACATCGCATTATCTAGACTAACACGACAAGTACAAAAATAATCATTGTTTAAATAACAAGAAAAATTATCATGAAGAGTATCTTATCTTAGGGTATTAAAATAAAAAAAATTGAAGGTTCATATTCAAGACTGATAAGATGGACCGTATTGTTATCAGGCTCAATTTGTAGGCATGAATGAATTAAATGAAAGCCAAGCAGAGATTTAAGTTTACTTGAAAGTTCCTAAAGAAATAAAAAATGAATAATCATAAAAAATAAATAATCATTTGGTAAATTTCATTTTATTTGAAGGACATTTCCACAGGAAGTTATCTTTATCTCTGCTCGCGCAGGAACCTCGACAAAACTGCGAGAGTTTCTCAGGAATCATCGCGGCCGCCAGGTCATCCTGGAGCGCAAAATATTTTGATTGGCTCAGGCTTTTCGTTTCAATTCCCGACAGCGCTTGCCACAAAAATGGGTCTTAGTTAAGCATCCTTTTGTACAATGAACAAAATCAAGATAACCAGACGTATAATTTTGAATTATAACCCCATGATGAAGTGAAATTGCATCAAAGAACTCTAATACCCTTCAGAGTTTTGCACTGCTAGAGCTCAGAGCGGAGCGCCTTTTAAAAAGTCTGGCGACTCATTTCCGAGCAGATTGCTTTGCCCGGAAAGCACAAGTATTTTTAAAGGGGATTTTGCTCACGGGGGTTTATATTCCTTTGATTTTCTTTGATGTTTAGGATTAGAGAGACTAACCTGAGCTTCTTTGAACGCTTTCATTGTCAGGAACGTCAACAATGCAGAGGATCAATTCCCGGGTGCTCCTAAACGCGGACGCGCGTTTTAGATCCTGTACGTAAAACGCGGCCGGGGCGACCGAGCTTGACCCAAGCGGCACCATAGTGTGGTATGCGGTCTTTGATGCGCCACAGGCGTCCCATGGAAATATATTTTTTATTACTCTATGCTTTATTTTTCAATATTTTTGGGAAGGTACACAAACAAAATGCAATTATTTGCTTTGGTGGTTTGGAGCTGCAAAGTTTATATTAATTTATTATGTTAATTCTAGTTAACTCAATCCTAGAGGGAAAATTTAACGGTAAAATGAATGTAATTCAGAAATGAAGCCTTGCACATCGCTCGCCCAAAGTAAGGTAGAGAATATAAGTTCAGCGCGCAGTTCCATAGCAAATTGCAATGCATACCAAAGTGGTGGTGTTTGCAATTTGATCTGTCACGAGAAAAATACGGTGGCAAGAGAGCGGTTTTATTTGCTACTAAATGAATTCTGTGGCAGGCGCGACGTTCGGTCTTGTGTGTTGTCGCTACACAAGTAAGCGCTGTAAATAAGCCATGAACTGCCCGACACCTAAAATACTAAATGAAACTAAAGCACTAAGCAACTAAAAAGCAAGAGAATGTTTTATGACTCAGGAATTGTAGGGTGTGGAATTCTCAACGAATTCACGCCTTTGAAAAAAATTTATAAAGTCACAGAGGGAGAATAGCACACTAGACTGAAATACAATATTGTAGTGATAAAAAGCTTGAGCTGCCTAGGAGAAATCAGGTTCAACATAAGAGTAAGAATAAGAAAATAATTGAAGGCAATTAATAATTGCAAATATATGCAAAATTTCATGGAACATTAAAAATAGACTAGATACTGTATTATAGAATAAAGACGAACTATTTTTCATAGTAACGCCTACTGGACACTCCGCGGTCTTTTAATCTACACTTTTATTTTGAACTCAGGCTATGCATGGTAATTAAGGCCGGTGTCAATCGAGCGATCGAGAGCAGTTTGGTGTACGAGAAAACTATTTGTCAGCGGATGTAGTAGCTGTCGCCAATGCTAATCTTACCTGCCAAATTCCGTTCAATATTAATAGATTGTTTATACAAACTCCAAGCTAACGCCATCTATAGCACAAAAAATTCTACGTTTTCTCCATCATAAAAACCCTAGCCTCGCGTTATCTGTAGCGCAACAAACACTAGCCTCGCGTTATCTGCACCACAAAAAACTCCAGCGTTGCGTTATATGCACCATAGCAAACGCCAGCCATGCGTTCTCAGCACAACAAACTACATCGGTTTGTTCTCTGCACCACAAGGAACTCCAGCCATGCATCATCTGCACTACAAAAAACACTAGCCGTGCGCTATCTGCAGCACAACAAACTCCAGCTGTGCGATATCTGCACTAAACCAAACTCCATGCAGCCGTGCGTTATCTGCACTTAACCAAACTCCAGCCGTGCGTTATTTGTACAACAAACTCCAGCCGTGCGTTATCTGTACAAAAAACTCAAGCCGTGCGTTATCTGTACAACAAACTCCAGCCGTGCGTTATCTGCATCACAACAAACTCCAGCCGTATGTTATCTGCACCACAACAAACTCCAGCCGTGCGTTATCTGCACCACAACAAACTCCAGCCGTGCGTTATCTGCACCACAACAAGCACCAGCCGAGCGTTATCTGCACCACAACAAAATCCAGCCGTGCGTTATCTGTACACCAAAGTCTCCACAAATGGAACTTCGACTCTCAAAGACTGCGATGTTCATGATGAACTAGACATCCTGTGGGAGCATCCGATCGCTCTGACAACCCCAATAGCTTCTACCAATCTTAATTTGTTTAGGTTTTGGCCAGCAGATTCTCCATTCACAATATCAGAAGCAATTAAATGAGCTTGTTGGAGTTCTCGGTTGCAATTACACGGTCTCGCAGTTCGTTAGTAGCTTGATCTCGTAGGCTGAACGTTGTCTTAACTAGTTTCATCTATTTATCAGTGATATTATTGAGACTTTGCTCGTCCGTCTGAGTTGAAATGCATCTCGCCGCGCTTATGAATGACATGAGGTATAGTCAATGTTCAATTTCTCACTTCAAATTTCCTGTAAAAAAGTTAATTGAATAATTATTGGTGGCGAATTAATGACCTGATTATCGTTTTTCCGCTAAATTAAAATAAATTTATTAATCCCGAGATTAATTTCTTTGGTCGTAATGAGGTATCGGTGAATAAAATAAACGAAGCGAAGTCTATCTTCAATTAGTGGTTCCAAATCTGTATTATACATGAATAATTTTGTCAAATGGCTCTCATTAATACGTTAATTTCGTCAACTTTTTTCAGGCTGCTGAGTGTTGGATCAAGTGCGATCAATTGAATGCAATTGCTGTATATTTTCCCGCTTTGGCTGCGGCACGTCGTATAACATCGAACGGCAATGAATACAATGGAAGGAATTATTTATTATCATTGAGCTAATGCAGTTAAGTGGCGGGGCCAGTTTGGTTGGCCTGATACCGTCATCAAATGGACCCCCATAGAGAGCCCTGCTGAGACACGAGAGCAGACTTGCCCTTATGGCTCTTCTAAAACAATATCTTCTTATTGGCGGCAAGAGGAGGCCGAGCCATCAAGGCTATTATGAGACCGAGTGACGCCGTCATGCCCAGGGCGCCTCGTGAAACTTCCTATAAATGATACATGTGATAGAAGCATAGGAACTGAAATGGAAATATCTGGGAAACTACAAGGAAACACAAATAAAAAACATTTTGCTACAAATTCGCAAATTAGATGTCAACAATTCTCGAAGTTTAATTTTTTTATTTAAAAAAGCTGTACATTTATATTATGCACGACTAGAGGAAGATTGTCTCTCAACCTCAAGAAAATTTGTTCTCCTGTCATTATAGGTATAGGTAGAAATGTATAGAAATTGATTATATTTTTCTGTGGCACACACATTAAAATAAATTTTTATTACTTCGTATATTTTATGACCAGAAGCCGTTTAAAAAATGCCATTAAGCGAGGCTATAAGAGTAAAATTAACCTCATATCTCCATTAAATTATTCCTGACTCTCGAGATACTTGGTAAGTTGACACACGCAGCGTACGGAATATCGAAAAATCCATCATGCATAACAGCGGAGCACGCAATCCTCCCTGGATTTTGCCCGGCAAAGCAAGTAACGAATTCTAACCCAGCAGCGCTACGATCTCCTTGGCGTTAAGCAAACAGGGGAAGCAATCTCATTTTTTTCTCAGTGGCCAAATTAATGGCAATTTGCATGTATATTGCCGAGCAAGGCTAGTGCCATTATTTACTGCAACCGAGCGCCAGAAGTGACAAGGAGGAGAGTTGACCGTCGATTTTTCTCTTCTATTCCCGATGAATGTGAAGGGAAGGTAGAAACGAAGCCAGCTCCCGACGGGTGTTTCGATTTAGTTACGATGACGAGGAGATGACGAAACTGTAAAAAGAGCGCACAAAATATTCATAAAATTTCCTCTGCGTTCAATATGTTAATATCAAAGAAATTCAAATAACTGTCGTCTTAATTGGATCAAAAATTGAACGCTTACTTTTTCTTATACACAGCAGCCCTGCATGTTGAGGTAATTTTTTTATCGTCGTTTGATTTACACACTACATATTGTTTTAACTGTACTATCCCATCATCATTGGAAACAATTTAGATAAATTACGCAGTGCCACATTAAATTATTAATATATGTATATTTATTTTATAATCATTATCGGGAAATAGATAGCATTATCGCCTGATCTAAAGCACGCTTTCCTCTCTGACATCTCGCCCCAGGCTGGAAATATTCTGGCCGTGATAGCCACCTTTGCCCTGGACGACCGTCATAAAATTCGAATAAAACTCCACGAAGCTGCAATCTAACCTAATGATTCTATTCGCGGGCTCGTCGAAGACCGTTAACCTGCACCGCCAGGCCAAGCTGCCAATGAATTGAACACTGCGAACATATGCAAGTACTCTTTAGCGCTTCGGAGCTCAGGAAAGATACGAAAAATGATTACTTATTAGACTGAGAAATATTCGACCAGTTTTGATACACGATAAAATTGCAACAAAATATTCCAAACGATCACGCAGCATATTAGATAAATATTTGTCTCAACAGGCTGACATAAATCAATAAAATATTAAAAATGTTATTGTCAAACACAAGTCAAACTTAGATTATATAGATTATTATTTAGATTATATAGGTAATTATTCCCGCAGCAGGAGAGATATGCTGTACTGTATTGTGTAATTCTCACTTAGAACTAAATTTAAGCGAGGACATCTCAATCGTAGTAGTGACTGCGATAGAAGTCATAAATTTCTTGCGTGCATTTGATGCAATAGTGAATTTGACGATTAATCATGCGTTAATTTGACACTTGTTGCAGGCAGTGAATGTTGGACCAAACTGATAAACATTGTACGTATTATGAGGAGAAAATAACGGCACTTCGCTCTCCCGCTCCTCATTGTAATGAATTCATGGCTAAATTCATGAATACATATCTTGTCACTTAATTTATTTGAGCTGCGAGTCCAAATGCTGGAACCATAAGATCTTAATGCTACGACCCGAGCGACTTTAAGACCATTTTAATACCTCATAAAATTTCAGAAAATCGTAAAAGACTTTCGCAAGCGTTGTTCCCCATCAACATTTTATTCGTTCTAAAATTTCCATCTCATGAAAATTTTCGCTGGAATAAGTAGCGTCTTCATTCGGAGGCCAGGAATTTAAATTAGCTCTCACTTAATTGGCACCACTATTGAGATCCTCGCTGGGATTTCTCGACTAACTAAATTCAGGTCTAAGGTGCGATGAACAATTCGATTGGATGACTCACAGGAGGTCTAACGAGTCGCCATCTCACCGATGCCGACCCACGACCAAGTGTAGATTTGATCACGGTGAGATTTTGTTCGTTTGGGGGCTTTTAAGTTCAGGAGTGGGGAGCACAGGGACGAGTCTAGAGTCTTGGTAACAAGAGGCTCTTATGACAACACAATTTGGCCCCAGCCCGACTCCAGCAGGCTCGGGCGCTTCTGTTGAATTTCCAACCCAAGTCACCGGCTGTCGAAGAATGGAGGCTTGGAAACCCGCCTCCCGAGACGCTGTAGGGAAACAGAGTTTGAAAGACATCGTTTCCATGAAGCTATCAAGGGACGTTACTCGTTAGCTACCTTGAAAAGTATACCGGTTTTGTACGGCAAGATATAGCAGTTATTTTTTTTATTCAAAAGAAATAACTTTCTGTTGAACATCAATAAATACTTCAAGCCACGAGCAATTTTTTGTGAAATTTTGCCATACATGGCGCTCATGGAGCTCATGATTGTACGGTTAGAGTAAAGGTCCGTGGAAAATAACTTAGAATTTAATCGATACAAATCATTTCGCTTCTAGTGGCAGAAGAAAAGTTTTTTGCAGGTGAATTTTTTTTAGCATTCAAGAATGGGCATAATGCAGTCTTCAGATATATAAAATTCAACGTACAATAAGTATTGTCTGGTCATGTTTTCTTAGCAAATAAATCTGACAATCAAAGATGTTGAACAGCAAACTAAATTTTTGAATGATTTTACTAGAGATTTCAGTTTAATCTCGAGCTATCAATTCACCTTTCTTTTTAGATTGAGTTTCGATTTAATTAAATGGCAATTAAGAAACAGTAAATAATTAATGATTTCAAATAATGATTGAAAGTTAATGGCTTATTTTTACCGAATAATTTAAAACAAAAATAATTCCAAATTATTCACTATATATTTTCATAAAAGGATTCCGATTACCGTTCCATCGTCTGTTCGAAAATTCTAGATGACAAGTAAAATCAATTAGCATAACCTGAATATGATTGTGATCGTCAACAGATATGAGATCGTCTCTAATTCGTAAATATACCTTAAAATACTCGAACAAAATGCACTTCAGCGTAGGTCAATATGTCATCATACCGTTTCTATTCCAGAATGGCGTAACATAAATAGAGGAATTATCGAACCGGATACTTTTATACTAGCCCCATCCTCCTCATTGTGCTGGACCTATACAAGCCGAGTGCTGCAACGTACAACGAATGCTGGTACCCAACAACAACTTAAATTTATATTCTATAATCATAGTTTTTTTCGAGTAATATTGTAATCCCTGCGAATTTACAGCCATATCCTAGTTTGGATGACTCATTTAGCTATTATAAACTTGAATTTTAAAGCACCTTTGCTTTTTTGTAAGAATTCACCGTTGTCATGTCTTCCATTTGTCAATTTAGATTTTCATGCTCGTTCAATGAATTTTTGTTCTGCCAAGTGTTTGTGCTCGTAATCTAAAATTTTCGAACAGACGATTGAGCTGGACTTAATGACTTGTTTGCATATACAATTGGTTAATTTTGGTAGCATTTTAAGTGCTTGTAAATTCTTAGTTAATTCGCAATGCAAGCAATCTATTAACTCCAGTGCTTTTATGACCAAATAATGAATGATCGGTCGACCTCGCTCCTCCTTTCATTTTTTATCTAAAATGCGATAGCCAGGGTGCAGCGGAGCGTCCATGGCAACAGCTCCACATTTAGCGCGCCTCGTCATGAGAGGCGAGCAGGCGAGCAGCAGCAGCCGTGCTGGCATCGACCTCGGGATAATTTCCCCGGGATAGATTGGCAGGGAGTCCTTCAAGGAAGCTTCGTATTAGCAATCGCCCGCCTCGGGAATAAGAATCTTTGGAGCTAATTGAGCAAATGGCTTATTGGTGCAGCCCCTATTGCAGGAAAGAGATGCGTGAACATGCCATTCTCCTTCCATCAGTATATAAGACTCGATAAAGTCGGGCAATGTGCGTCATGATAATAATTTACTCGCTTCCGTTAGAAAACCTAGGAATTTAACATATGGGCAGCAATGTAACGAAAGTGAACTCGTGGACTTATGGCTATCCGCAAAAAGAGATTCCATGATTATTTTCCATGAACTTATGGAGTAACAAAAAAGCGTTTGCGCGCCACATGATGAAAGTCAGGTGCCGTGCAATTAACTCCAAACAAATTCAAATGAATGACTTATATTTCAATAAAAAATTCATATCTAATTAATAATTAACTAATCTAATCAGAAAAATTAACTAATCTAACTTATTTGGTGGCGATACCAATGAATTACTTGTCTAATAGCATAATCGTCATCGTAATAATTTATATATTTCCACCTGACGTGAGCAAAAATTAGAAGACCATAGTGAAAACGTCTCAGCAGAGATCTTATTACTGAAATTAATCTACAGGATAATTTTGCTTGCAACTGATGACCTCTTTCGATATGTAGAGGACATGATTGTTTTCCTGTCATAAGCCATAAATTATGCTTCTATAGACTTATTTCAATGTATATAAAGCTATTTAAAGCGAACACAAGAGTTTTAGGCCGTCAATTTTCAATGCGAGCGAAGTCGAATTTCAGAAGAATTTTGAGTTGAAAATCTGCACCAACTAAAGCCAGTCAAGCGGAAAAATTTGAGCGACGTTTCAGGATTAGGATGCATTGACTCGACCTTTTGCTTTCAATATTTCCTCAGCTTTACTTGGGCTTTAGTTCCGCTTGATTACTCCTAAGGCAGACAAGAATGGAAGATAAAGTGGCGTTATTTTTCAGCCTGTATCGCATGATGCATTAGAAGCTTCCATTGCAACAGGAACTAGAGCCGACGGCGACGCGTCATTGGGGCTAATCTGGCAAAGCTCTCCGGCCTTTGTTGCCAAACTGGCCTTAGTTTCCTCCAATGAAACGTTCATACTGCCTCAATTGAAAGAAACTGTCCTTTCGTTTGCATTTGATTAGCTGCAGTTAGCTGAATCGCAAGGCTCCATTTAATGCAGGCGGGATATTTGTGCAATTGCAGATCTCAGACGAATTCTCCCAAGTTTTTATTCTTGATTAGAGGCATTAAGCAAATAATATCTCTGACGGTCAAATGAAGTTCCAGTAGCAAATGTCTCTTTAAATTTTTTAGCTAATGGAAAACTAATATAAAATTCCGATACTAGCTGATTTTGCTAGCTGTATATATTGTTTGTTGGAGTTTAACAAGTTAAATATTTATATTCAATTATAATATATTTATAGATAGTTTTTATTATCTGATCTGAATCATTTGCTAAAAAACTTGACCAAAATCTAACTAAAATCATGAAACTTACCAAGATTGGATAAGTTGTCCAGGACTGCCTGCAGGCAGTCCTGGAATAGAGATCCGATGATCAGCTAACAAACGGTCACAGTAAAACAATTTATTGCACGTAGTAACATCAAGATATTTGATCATTCATGAGGTACATAATTCATGCTCAGCTCGTGGGACTTAATGAACAGGAAATTACCAATCTACAGTTCATAGGGTTACACTTCACAAGACGTGACATTGCCCTGAAGTCCACGAGCAAACAATTAATTCCTATCCGCAATCTCAGATCTCTATTCTAACGCTCTGTAAAACATTCTAACAATAATTATATTTACTTATTATAATGATTAACAACACATTTGCAATTCGGAAAAGCTGAATCTTTGAACGACAAAAAAAACGTTTATTCCAAGACATCGAAAAAAGTAAACGAATCCCAAACCATTAAGTGTCGAGCCATGATCTGGGAGGCTGCGAGCCGAAATGCGGAAATTCGACCGTTCATAAGGATGCGAAATATTGGTCTCTTTTACAGTGAGTATCTGGAGTTCTTGTAGGGCCTATGACATATGCCTCCTCATCAGGCTGTCGTAGGCAGCTTTGGCATAGATATGAGGCTGGCAAACTCCACTGGCAAGGCCTTTAAGAGCATATTTCTTTACCGTTGAACTAGAAGGAGGTATCTGTAGGCCTAGATAATGCGGGAGGGCGCATAGTGCTGCAGATAATACGCCAAAATGGTGCTCGGTCCATTCCTGAAATTCCCTGGAAATATTTCATATACCCTGATAAATTGACGTCCATTCGGGTTCACTTTAACCCAAGGAGGGCAATGTAAAGATTCAACTTTATTACTCAGAAAGCAGCGATTGTTTTGGGTTTTCATGTGAATTATGGACGTCTTGGGAGCTTCTGAACTCCAGAATGGAAAGACATTTATGTGAAGAAGCGCACGAATTTAGGGAATGAAAAGTTTTTGAGTTTTGCTGTAAATCTTTTCCACTCTGAGAGTACCTTTGCATGAGCTCACTGGGTCATTGAGTCACCAACTTCAAAATTCCAAGAGCACTGCAATTATTCACTTCAAGTGCTGCAATTTTTATATTTCGCGAACGGTATATTTTTTATGAATTCGTTTGAGCTGAAGAGAAATCGTAAAGAATGTCGTTAGATTACGATACGAAAAACTCTATATTTTAAACAATTCTTCTAGACGTTTTGTATAAGATTTCTTCTTAGAACAGAGACAGGTATAATTATTACAAAATATTTTTGAGAGGAGTATGTTGTCTTGAAACTTTAAAGAACGAACGGAGAATTGGGTAGGGAGTGAAAATTATACACTTATTAAGTGATGGACGAGTGTAAAAATGTAACCAATTAATTGCCTACGAAATTTCAAATGATTTCGATCTCTTGGCATTTGTTTCAGGTCGACTACCGGGTTGGTTGAATGTTTCCACTACATTTATTAATTTAATTTAATCCTGACAGTAGAATAGATAAATTATCAGAACAAATTGACACGTGCAAACGAGTTGCACTCAAAAAGTATTATTTCTACACAGACACGCAGAGGAAAATGTAACTTATCCAATTCTAAATAACTGCTCACCAACCAAATTTATTTCATTCACATGATTTCAACAAATATTACAGACCTCCTCTTGAGCGCGCGACGAAACTGTTATTATTTAAAGCCTATGAAAACATGGGCAGTTTAGTGAAGGCAGTAAAGCATTGAGAGGCGAGCGGGAGCTCTTCAGAAATTCTATGGATCCTCGCACAACTAAACGCATGGCTGGCAATATTATCTGCAGTCAGCAGGCAGGAATAAAAATGCGTTTGCTGGAGCCGTGCCGAGTAAAAGCTTCTGGTTTATGAACTGCTTGAACAAACACGACTGTGGCTCGGTTCAGTAGTGTGTTGAGAGAAGGCCATGAGACTCACAAATGTGGCTGTCAACGAGCAGTTTTGCCAAAAATATACAAACGTTATTTTTGGGGAATTTCTTCGCTTCTTGCTGTTAACCTAAAACTGAATTTTTCAAAAATAACGTCATTGAAGCGTCAAATATGTTCAGATTCATGGCGCGCTTGTGACTATTAAAGGTTTATGAAGAACATTGTAGAAGTTAAATACGTTTTATCTGCATAAGTCAGTCAATGTCTTGAAGGTAACGGAATTAGAGAACACGGGAGTGAATGTCGTGCATTTCATTTACTTATGCTACTTTCCTAATTCAATTGTCAGGATGACTTTGAAATATATGCTTTGCTCTATTATTAAATAATTACAGTGGTGGATGAAGTAAAAAAATGTCGGTTACATGACTGTTGATTGAGCGGCCATTTCGTTAAAATTTATTCATCTAATACAAATATGAGTTCAGTTTGATGATTATCAAGTTAAAGCATATGAATAAGAAGTTATTTCAGTAATATATACTTAATCATTTCTTTTGAGGCGAATGCCTCAAAATGAATCTGCTTATATCATTCACAGCTTCAATTATGTTCGTGAATGTGTTTATTGTTTGTAAAATTTTGTGAATCGCATAAATATTGAAATAGAAGCTCCCAACGAAGTATTTTAGTCATCTGTTAGCAAAGTGATTTTCCTGTGGACTAAGATAGGTACCAAATATGAAATTTGAAGGGTAATGTTTAAAGATTCGGTTATTACGGTGGCTCTTCTGTGGACGTACGAACATTTTACGTGCGTACACAGTACGTTTCGCGAATTTAAGAGCTTGCATTTTAAGTACGCACGTACACAAGTTGGGAGCTTGTTTTTACGTAGTGTACGAAACATGCGTTGCGTGTACGTGCTTTGTACGTAACATGCGTTGTACGTAACGTGCGTTGTTCGTAACGTGCGTTGTACGTAACGTGCGTTAATTGTACGTAACGTGCGTTGTACGTAACGTGCGTTGTTCGTAACGTGCGTTGTTCGTAACGAGCGTTGTACGTAACGTGCGTTGTACGTAACGGGCGTTGTACGTAACGTGCGTTGTACGTAACATGCGTTGTACGTAACGTGCATTTTATATACGTGCGTTGTACGGGTGAAAACAATCCGGAGCCATACTTTCAAAACTCGCTAAGTGAACTTAAGTACTTACGCTCTACTTTCTTGTCTACGATTGGTAGATTTTTCTTGAAAGGCCGTCAATAATTGGCGGATGAACTTACGATCTCTTAACTTTTTTTTTGAAGTATAGGCCCTGAACCCGACACTATACCGAACACCCAAAGCAGCACACGACCGATTGCTCCGGTCATCTCAGTTGCCTAACATGGAACTTTTTTCAAACAAAAGTCAAACTTTAAGAATGCCGGACAATCACATGTATGAACGAACTGCGCACAATCTAAATAATCAAAACAAAATAAAAGCAATTAATGTTTAAAATGCAAATTAATAGAAACATTATGGGCATCTAGCAGACTGTTCCGTTTTGGCGTTGACTATGCTAAATTTGGCCTGTGACCAATTTAAGAAATCTCAGAATTTTCACAGTTTGCTTGGGCCTTGAACTGGCAATTTACAGCTTCAATTTTAGTACTCTAAACTCTAAACAGTCATCCACTTTAATTTATCGATACCATCAATCATGATCATCGAAGACGCATTGGAGGTGTGTTGTACAATTAGGATGATTGTCAGTAATGATATATTCTGCGCAAAGTGCGAAGCTCCGAATCGCGGACGCTACATATTGAGAACGTCACTTGGTGAGGAAGATAAAGTCCTCAATCAAGCTACGAGTCGATGAGTGGTGATACGCAGGGCTGAAAAGGAGCGTATAGCTGCAGAGATGGTAGCAATGACGGCAGACACAATGTGTCTGGGGTAAGATCTATGAGACGCCATCGCAGGCAAAATGATCCAGGAGCTGAGACCGAAGCCCTCACCGTCAGGTCTGATATCGAACAGCGATTGTGCGTTAATAGCCAGATATCCGATGGATGTGCGTGCTGCGTCTGAGGCCGCGGTCACACGCGTACAGAAGGGAAACTACCTTATTCGTACAAAAAAATATTTACCTCTAAGTAAGTTAATGGATTAAAGCGAAATAAAATTAAGATTGCAGCTTGGGGAAATTAAAAACAGTAAATAACAGCATAATGGAAAGTAAAGTAAAATCTCGACTATTAAAATTCGATGAACATGAAACTTAATGATTGATGCCGGCCAGAGCAACAGAAAAGGTTACATGATGCGCGTAATCGCGGCGACTCAACTCATCCGCAGTAAAATTTATCGATGCCACGTACATGTTACGACGCGATCGAAACACCTTCTTGCTTCAGCGTTCCGGCACCGCAAAAATTTATGAGCGAAATGAGGACTCCGACTACAGTAAGTCGTTGGCGGTTCACCAACACCTAGGTTTCGGCTGAAATGTTTAGGCTGACCTTAATTTTATGTACTAACGTTTAAGCTTTCGGAAACAATTTTATTTTATCGAAATGAATTATCAATGACATGTGTAATTGCGATAATATCTATCATTGATTTGGACAGCTTATGGACAAAACCAATTGTCGTCGTGCATGCACTTTGGAAATTAAAATGGAGCTAAATTTATGCGCCGGCCAATATACAGTATATCAAATGACTGAACACGGTAAAATATATCATGGTAGCTACTACATTGCGTCTAGGTGCTTGCAAGGTTCCACTGTTCAGCTGATTACATGAAGATCTCAGTTCACACTAATTAAACATTTCTAAAATTTTATCCTACAATTCTAAGAGCGACTCTACGTTATTCAAAAGTAATGTACTATCTAAAAAGTGTTTTTAGATCTGGGTAAAATCAACTATATTTTTTTATTAAATGAGGAACCTGACGACAGATTTAGCTATACGAACAATAATATTTGTGCAAAATAATTATCATTAATCTAACCAAGTTGCATAAACGGCTAGAGAAGAAAGGGATTGAAGGAGTTGCATTTCTCATATGCAAATAATGGACACGTGATTCGTGACACTAAAAATTGTCAACGCTTCATGCAGGAAGTTGGCAATGAAATATAAAAAAATTCAGACATCCGATATAAGGAAAAATATATATTATATTTTTGTGTAATATAATTAAAGAAATTGTCTATCAGGATTTCTATCCGAAGTTTGGTTCTAAGCAGGATGATCAATTCAAATATTCAGTAATTAAGAAATTTGTACCTGTACAGGCAACCTACCAGAAGCGAATGGGAATTAGCGATAGGTTTCGGGATGAGCAAAACCTATCGCTATCA